TTCTCAGTGTGAGGGAGACCCAGACGCATCACAGATCTGTCCTTAGTGAACCGGGGCACACAATTGGGGCCTGTTTCTTAGACCCCTTGCACACTCCACACTGTATGTCTCAGTGTGACGTCGAGTTTGTAGTTTGGTTCCTCCTGATAATATTCATGTTCAAATTGAGATGCTTCACCTCTTAGAGTGGCAAGGATACAATGCACTTTGTCATATGTTTGTTGTTGTATGTTTGTTGTTGAATCAAATGGTCTTCTAGGGGGACGGCTTTTTGAAATCCTTGAAAATAGTGAATGGGAACTCAGTGGTTAACAGAACAAGGTGTCCTGGTCAACACGGCACAGGGAAAATTGAGGGACAACCCTGAGTCTCCTCACAGCATAATTTCCCCATTCCCTTTCTCGGCCGTCTCTTCTGCCTCTCTGTTGCTGGGCACCTCGTCATTAAATCAGAGACAGGAGAGGCATTCGATCATCGGGATCATTTCTTTGCCAAGGCAGAATTGATCCCCAGAGGATATTATGTCTTTGCCTCGTCTAATCTTCCGCATCTCGGGAAACTCCGCCGCTCCTCCAGGGACACCTTCCCACGGAGCAAGAGAGCTCATCTCCTGTTCTTCCTAATCATTCTACCAACTTTTTCCTCCTCCAATTTGCCCCATTACTTCAAGTCAAACCTCCTGTATCAGGTCTAACGAACCCTCACAGCCTCCCATTAACTAGTGCTGCTGGCTCTTATGACCTCATTCTGTTGTCAGCCAAATTGTCATTTAATATTATTTATTCCCACAGTTCTTCTTGACAGCCTGAATGCTGTTGCACTGCGCCGTGCGGGTAGTCAGGTGTTCCTAATCCTCAGACAATGCTTGTTTTCTGAACCCTTTCTGAAGAAGGGGTGTGCTTGCTAGCTGCGTTTACGCCCTGCACAGTGATAGTTTGCAGGGAGCAGGCATCTAACGGCTCCGCCCTCCCTGGGCAGGGACATTGTCCACAGCTCCTCTGTGCTCTGCGAAGAGCAGAGGGCTTACCCAAAACCCTCCTGGCCCATCTCAGCAGGTGCATTTGGAGATTAGAACTCCCCCAGAGCCTGCCTGATGCAAAACTAATGACTTCGAAGTTTCAGAGCCAGGGATGGGGCTGTGGGGACAGGAATGACCAGGACACACAGGGGTATTTCCAGGGCTTTCTGTGTCCATCATTCCAGGGCACCAGCCTCAGACAGAGCCCTCTTGACTAGTTCTGTGGCCAGGGACACAGAGCTCACGAGGGACCAGGTGTCTTCCTCTCAATCAGGTGCCCTGGGGCGACATCAGCTAGGAAGACCTCCAAGGCCCCCCATCTGTGGAGAAAGCCTGAGTGCCTGATGTGGCTCACAAGCCGCTTCCAAGACACTATTGTGGCTGCTCGGGTGTGGGTTCCAGCTGTCCTGCCCATTCAAGGTTCCAGTCCCACCTGGCCTAGGTACTGCTAGAAAGGTGGGAGGGTCTCATCAGGCCACTGTGCTGGGTGACACTCGGGGGCTGCAGTGTGGGAAGGAGCCATGGAGTGCGGTGGGCGTCCCTGGCCATTGCTTGGTGGGCCTGTCCCCACTCCCCCACCCTCTATTCATGGGCTGCTGCTGTCTGGGTGGGATCCTCCAGGGTGTATCACCCATGGGAGCTGAGTCTGATACATTCTCTGGTTCTGTTCTTGCCTTCTGCTTCTCATCTGCTGCCTACTCTCCTACGTCCTCTTCCCTGAGCTCACACCACCCTCTCCGCCCTCCTCACACGGTTCCTGTTTGGCCCCAATCTCCACAAGCTGGCTTCTGACAAGGGGATGACCCCAGGCCAGGTCCCTGTCCACAGCCACCTTGCTGAACTCAAGTCCCAGGAACCAGCAGCTAGGCAAAGCCTGGTCATGTAAAGCAAAGAGTGGCTCTTGAAGGCCCGTGTGCAGGACTACAGGCTCCAGGCAGTCTGCCTGCGTGAGACCACACCCCAAATAACACCTGAGGGGCTTGAGCAGGGACAGATGGGAATGGCTCACTGGTCACACCCTCGACTCTCACACAGTCACCTGTCACACACATTTGTCACTCACACCCTCGGTTCTCAAAAGCTCACGCCATTCACCTCTCACACATATTCATATCTCACACCCTCACCTCCCACACCCTAACCACCCACACACATTCACCTCTCACACCCTCCCCTCTCACTCCCTCCTTCTCACTCCCTCCCCTCTCACTCCCTCCCCTCTC